CCGGCGCTGCTGGGCGCCACCTGGATGGGGCACCAAGCGCGACGATGCCCACCTTGAGGGAGCTCATAACCAGAACCAGAACCAGAACCAGAGCCAGAACCATAACCAGAGCCATTACCAGAACCAGAACCATAACCAGAGCCAGAACCAGAGCCAGCGCCGCTGGGCGCCCCCTGGAGGGGGCCCAAGCACGACGACGCCTCCCTTGAGGGAGCTCAGCGCCGCCGGGCGCTCCTGGAAAGGGCCCGAAGCGCGACGACGCTCTCCTTGAAGGAGCGCATTTCCGCTGGGCGTACCCTGGAAGGGCTCCAAGCGCGACGGCGCTCTCCTTGAGGGGGCTCAGCGCTGCGGGGCGACCTTGAACCAGTGAGAATCAGTCGCATTCACAATGCAGCTCTACACCTTGCCGAAGGAAGACAACGGTCGGCAGCTCGCTGTGAATACATCAAGTTCGAGAAGACCACGCGGACGGACATCGCGAAGGAGGTCTTTGTCTCTGGCACGGCGCTGGCCCCCAACTGGGGAAACTCGCCCGACAAGAAGACGCCGCTGAAGCTCTTTCACTATATGATGGACAGGTTGGGCGGAGTGCAGATCCGCCATTGAGTCCAGCCGTCCGCGGCCACCGCCGCAGCCGCAGGGGCCGATGTATATGACAAGGGCAAGCGGCAGGCGGGTTACCGCTACATCGAGAAGTACGGCCCGAGGGGCAACAATAAACACCAGTTCGTGGAGTGGACCGACGAGATGATTCACGACTAGAACTCTCCGATCTTCGGATGGATGGCATCAGACGTCAAGGAGTCGCTCCGCAACTACGCGTCGGGCACTGTCGGCGCGAGGACACTCGAGCGCTGGGCGGTCACTCTCAAGCGGATCGGCCCGTTCCTGTTCGACCGCATCGTCGCCCCCATCCTTAGGGGCCCCGACGTCCATGGGACCATGTGGATCGGAAAGACCAGGGTCGGCAAATCCACAGCATCCAAAACGATCGGCTTCGCTATTTCTGCTTACCAGATTGAGAAGCACTGCCGCGCTGACCTCCGCCCGATCGTCATCGCTGCGAAGAAGATCGGCTTCCTGCGATTGGAGCCTGGGACCATAATCAAGCCCGCCATCGCAGACGATACCGCGCTGGCCAAGTGGGGCCCCGACGAGATCAAGGCTTTCCTCGACCCCGCCGAGGAAGACGCGCTGCTTTGGGCGAAGCGGCGGCGCGCGGGGAAATACATTTCTTGGAAACAAAATTGTTTGAACGCATCCAAATTACGTTAATAAGTTTACCAGGGGCTTTGGTTGTGTTTTGTAGTTTTCCGCGCGCTGCACAGGTGGGGCGGCGCCTCTTTCGAGCAGAACCAGTCCCGCCAGATCTGCGTCAATCCGTATAACGAGGAGTTCGAGGCGACGGCCGAGTCCGTCAGCAGGGAGCAGGAAGAGGTAGCATTCAGTGACTTCATCCAGATCATCGGCTGCAGTTTCATCTGCGAAAAGCAGTGCAGCTACAAGATGGCGGACGTGGAGGCGTACATGGCGAGGTCCAACGTCGTGCTCCTCTCGCCGAACCGGGTGTACTTTCGGGCGGCATCCACGACGAAGGAGCCAGCCCCTCGCTTTCCGCGGCCAGTGCCCGCGAAACCAGATCTCTTCACGCCCGAGACGTGCGACATCCTCACGGCATTCAAGAAAGACCAGACTCGCGTTCCATCCGACTACGACCAACGCATGAGGTGGGCCGTGGCCGCCATGAAGAAGTTAGCGCGGGGCGAGGAGCTCGGGCAGTCATCGACGGTCCGTGGCCCAACGCTCTTCGACCAGGACGCGCCCACGAGATGCAACTTCCCAGAGGTGGCCACGCAGCCGCCGAGCGACAGGCAGGGGAGCGAATGGTTCCCGCGAGCGGCCGCTGGTCAGCCGACCAGCGCCTCGCGCCCCGTTCGCGAAGATACGCGCGATGTCGATGAGCAGCTGAATGTCTGCCGCGCCGTTTAGCAATGCCTCTGCGATCGCGCGGTGGCCTTTCACGGCCACGTGAGCGACATCTCCTCGCCGCAGCCGCTTAAGCGCGGCGCCGAGCGCCTGGCTTGCCCCGACGTGTCCACCATGGACGAGGAGGAGCGCGAGAGGGCCATGCAGGCGATGAAGGAGAGTATCATCGAGCGCGGGAGGGAGGCCCACGGCTCGAGCATCGACCTGTTGTCCCCAGCGCGCCCGCCGGCCGCCGACGTCGCCTCGCAGGATATCGCCGCGGCGATGGCCGAGGGCGCGGCCGCCGCTTCAGGCGACGAGAGGTCCTTCCCGCAAGTGGGCGAGGGTTTGGCCTCTGACTGAACCGAGCGCAGTAGCATCTGCTGCAGCTGATGCGCACGCCGATGCGCAGCCCTTTTGCTTGCCACATATGACCCGTGAAGCTTATCTCTGGAATGCTGTCCGCGCTGCGAGACGCTGGGCAAACGTGCCGGGGGTGCCCGAGCGAGATGTGCGCGGATACGCATATTGTTTTTGATCTGTCGTGACGTTACGATTTTGCACAAAAGGCAACACTTGCATTCACCCATGCTGTTGTTTGGAATGGAAGGGGAAGCGTGGGGAATTTCTTCGGCGCACCCCTCAAACGTTCCGTGACCACGCAGATGAGCCTCTACCGAAGGCCCCAAGTCAATCTCGGCACACCCTCACACGGTTCGGCCTCCGCTCATTCGCATCACTCCTGTATCCTTTCACATTCCTCCTCCCTTAGCGTAGAGGGACTGAACACGCTGTGTTTTTCATGTTTTTTTGGTTTTTCTGTTTTTTCTGATTCTTGGGAGAGACTAGCCAACTTGCGTAGTCTCTGCCAGAAATCAGAAAAGCCAGAAACACCTGAAAAAAACAACACAGCGTTTTCAGGCCCCTACGCTCAGAGACGTGACCCCTCCTCAAACGAGCCCAAGAGAGTCGTTTTCAGTTTCTGAGAAGGAGGAGGACGGGATAACGAGGAGGAGGCGGAGAAGGTAGAGGGACTGAACACGCTGTGTGTTTTCAGGTGTTTCTGTTTTTTTTTTCTGGTTTTTCGGATTCCTGGGAGAGACTAGCCAACTTGCGTAGTCTCTGCCAGAAATCAGAGAAGAAAACAAAACAAAAAAAATAACAACCTGAAACAACACAGCGTTTCCAGGCCCCTACGCTCAGAGACGTGACCCTTCCTCAAACGAGCTCAAAAGAGTCGTTTTCAGTTTCTGAGAAGGAGGAGGACGGGATAACGAGGAGGAGACGGAAAAGGATGAGGATAACACGATCAGTTGGCGGTTTGTTTGTTTTGGGGTGGTTTGGGGGTGTTGGGGCGGGGGGCGTCCACATTTATATACATACATGTGCGTATAAAAGAAGATACGTATGGTCATACATATATATGTGTATGTATGCATATATACATATATATCCGTATAAATGCATATACATATATACGTATACATTTATATATATATGTAAATATATACATATATATATACCTACATACATACATCCACACAAATATGTGTGCATGTGTGCCTCTGTGTGTGTGTTGCCCCCCCTTCTCGAGAGCGCCTCGGGGGGGTCTGGGAGCATCTTGGTGGCTTACTCAGGTGCATGCAGCGTTTTTTGGCAGCTGTTGGGGGCCTCTTGAGACACTGTTGGGTCATGTTGGCGGCTTCGGGCTTCCCCCGCTGCCGTGGAAGCCTCGGAAAGCTTTGGTGAGCGCCAAGGGAGGAGTCTGGGCGGCCCACGGAGCCTCGGGAAGGTGGGGGTGGCGATGCACGCAACTGGACGTGATGAAAGGAAGTGCTTCAGAAGACTACAGATGCCCTGCCAGGCAGCGCTTGGCGTTCTACCACGCCTCAGCATGCCAGGGGTCATTGCCGCGGATCACGCTTGCCGTGCATGATTACTCGTGACAATGCCATGCTACAAACGGAGTTTCTGTTCCGGAGCAGAAAAATACAGTTGCCGCTCTTGGGGGAGAGACGAGATTCTTTTCAGAGTCCCATAAACATCACACCATGCCATGGAGGGTCGACCAGGAGAGTTGCATCGGGAGGTTCCCGGAAGCCCCGGGAGGCTTGAGAACACTCCAGGAGGCTGCAGGCTCCAGGAAGCCCAGGGGGGCCCCGGGACCCCCCTAAAGGCTTCAGAACCCCCTGGGAAGCCCCAGGACCCCCCAGGATCCCTTCACTCATGCCCATGCTCGGATCCGTTCACAGTCAAGCCCACTCACACCTAGACTCGGTCAGTTCAGACCCCTCCATACCCAAGCAAGCGCTCACAGGCAGACGCACGCACAATTAACTAAGACCCATTCCTACCAATACCCGCACTGATTCACAAAATCGTAAGGGCTTTGTTTTCTGCCGCCGGGCACCCTTCTGATTGCTTGCATGGCTGGGTCGATGGGGTTGATCAGTTGCTTTTTCTGATTAGTTGCCAGGCTGACAACTCGGTTGGTTGGCTGGCTGTCTGGATAGACGGATGGCTTTATTGAGGGCATCTTTGACCGTCTTGTGGGTATCAGACGTCTTGTATGCCTGGAGCCCGAAAAGGCGAGTGAGCCACACAGTACACATAATGTATCAAGTTTTTACGTATTACATGTTACAGCCTTGCGTATTTCATATTATATGCTACAGTCAAGAGCGGAAGGGGGATCCGTGACTTCAGCCATTCTGGCGGCATTCTAGGGTGTCCTTTTGGGGCATTCTTGGGTGATGCGCCCGCGCCCCCCTGAAACCGCGCACCACAAGTCACTCGCTCGCAGAGCCACTCTTTTTGCCCAGAGATCATCGCGATGTGGCAGGCATGGCGTTTGCGCCTTCCACGAGCGGGTTTGCCAGGGGATCTATCAAGGGCCCAGTGGTGCCCAGAGTGTCGTGATCTTTGTAGTGGGATGGCCGGTTATTGTGTCCCTATCCATGTATGTATGGTTCAAGCATTTTGTAACACACCTTCACATTCGTGCTTCAGCATCTCTCAGCACCCTCCTCGGTGCCATGAAGCCGTCGGACACACCGGCGCTGTTCATCTTGCTAGGCTGCGCAGGAGCCTTGCACCTCGACAGGGCCGAGCCTCGCGCGGCGACCGCCACTGACGCAGCTGCCACCTGGGAGAAGCAGGCGGCGCAGTCGACCCTGACAGTGGAATACCTGATTGTCGGCGGCGGCGGTGGCGGCGCTTCCGGAGGCGGCGGCGGCGGCGGTGTGCTCCAAGGGACGGGTCTGGTCATGTCTGTCGACGAAGTCATCACGGTTGGCGCCGGCGGTCTCGGAGGTTCGGGGGCAGCGGCACCACTGCGGAGGCGACGAACGGAGGAGATTCTTCGATCGGCTCTCTGGTGGCATATGGCGGTGGCAAGGGGGCGGGGGGCAGTTCCAGGACTGCCTCCAGCGGAGGCTCAGGCGGTGGAGGCGCCTACGATCTGCCGAGTGTTGCCTACGCGGCTGGGGTCGCGGGACAGGGCTACCGGGGTGGGCGCAGCGACAGGGGGGGGTACGGCGCAGGCGGTGGCGGCGGCGGTGCGGGCGGCGTTGGGAGCGACGCGCCCCAACAGCACTACGGAGGAGATGGTGGCGTTGGAGTGGCGTCGTCGATTTCAGGCACTCTTACGTATTACGGCGGAGGCGGTGGCGGTGGCGTCAACGCAAACTGCGGTTGCACCACTTATCCAGGAGGGGCCGGCGGCTTAGGGGGCGGCGGCGATGGAAGCAGTTACGGCGGTGGTGGCGGCGCTTACTTCAATGGCGAAGATGGGCAGGCAAACACTGGCGGTGGTGGCGGCGGCACGGATCCTGAGTCTTCCTTGGCTGGCAACGGAGGGTCTGGCATCGTGATCATCAAGTACCTGAGTTCCATCCCGTTGCTCCAAGGTGGCACAGTCACCACGAGCAATGGCTACCAAATTCATACTTTCACAGCAACTGGATCGCATACCGTAGCAGTCGAGGCGGCATGCGGTGCGTGGCGCTACTACAGGTACTATGTCCCAGTCGCGAGTGCAAACCCGCATCATCTGTGCATCAATGAGATGCAGTACTTGTACGGTGGTAGCGTGCTCTCAACACCTGCAACTCACTGCGGCAGTGCACCGTGCGCTTTTGCTACTTCCGGATTCTACTCGGATTGGAGCCCCGAGAAAGCTTTCGATCAAAGCAATTATGCAATGTATGGCAGTGGATATTGCAATGAAGCCGGTGATGGTTATCCCCGAGGGGCTGGGTGGTTGGCGTACGACTTCGGAGTGCCGACACAAGTCGATCAGGTCAAGATTTGGTTTTGGAGAGGTGATCACAGCGCGAGTGGGACGGCCTACATGGAAGGCTCAAACGATGCGGTCACATGGACAACTTTGAAAACGATTACAGACACTGATTATGCGACACTCGATACGACCGTCGATTGTGTTGCATCGCCAAGTTCGGCGCCGACGCTGCTGATGAAGCTGAGGGCTGGCTCCAATACCTTCCAGTATGACGCAAGCTATTGGACCGACACTTCTGTGTTGAACGAAGCTGGCGGCGCTTCGGTCAGCGACTCTGACGACGAGGACGTCAAGATGTCGGCATTCAACACAGACCCGATCTCCGCCCTGACGTTGTGCTACAAGACGCTGGACAACTGCTACACGTACGAGCTGGGCGCGACGTACACCAGCGCAAGCGCTCTCTTCAGCTCGGGATTCATCCGCAGCGAAAATCTGGGTTATGGCGCTGGAGCCGCCGACGCAGCGAAGCAGGCCTGGACAGATCTGTTTTTGCCGCCGGGGACCCCGACCTGGTACGACGACTATTGGAACGGGAACGGAGGCGGCAATTGCAATATGCAGCGGCCAGGGATCAACACCCAGTGCAATGACAACAACTGGGCCCGCATCGGGTACTGCGTGAACCTCCCTGACCAGAGCTGCCAGCCATATGATACCAGCGACGCCGACTCTCCTATTGGGATCGGGCTGAAGACGCAGAATTGGCCCAACAATGTCAATGCCCCTTTCGGGGAATACTTCATACACGGCGCTGGGTCGTCTGGCGTGCAGCTCTTCCAACACCAAGCATGGCTTTTCGCAGGATCGGCTACTACCGCGGCTTCCCCAACGCCCTCTCCGACGCCCTTCCCGACGGCCTTCCCGACGCCCTACCCGACGCCCTTCCCGACGCCCTTCCGACACGCCCCCCCCCTTTTTATATTTTTTTTCTTTTTTTTCTTGTTGGTTTATTTCTTCTTTTTCTTTTTTTTTTTTTTATTTATTGTTTTTTTTTTTTTTTTTTTTTTATTTTTTCTGTTTTTTTTCTTTTTTATTTTTTTTTTTTATGTTTTTTTTTTTTCTTTTTTATTTCTTTTTTTTTATACCAGGACCCGGTTTTCCCAACGCCTTACCCAACGCCGAGCCCGACGCCCAGCCCAACGTATCCTGTCGGTTGGCCGACGCCGCATCCGACGTTTCCTCCGGGGGCTGCCATGGCGGGCGGAGCCGGCGGAGCGGCTGCCACTGGCGACCCCCACCTGCAGAACGTTCACGGTGAGCGGTTCGATTTAATGCAGCCAGGCAAGCATGTGTTGATTAACATCCCTCGAGGAGTGCGCCCTGACGAGGCATTGCTTCGAGTGCAGGCTGATGCGCGCCGAATGGGTAGCTCTTGCGCGGACATGTACTTCGTCGGTGTCAATGTTACGGGGTCTTTCGCAGAGGCAAGGCGAGCTGGAGGGTATCGTTACGCCGTGTCGACACGTGCAGTCGAGACTCCAGAATGGGTTGCTTTTGGGAAGGTTGAGCTGAAGGTTGTTCAAGGACACACGCAAAGTGGCATCAGCTACTTGAACGTTTACGTGAAACATTTGGGACGGGCAGGTTTTGCAGTCGGAGGCCTGCTGGGAGAGGACGACCACAACGACGTTATGATTCCTCCACCAGGTTGTACCCATCATGTGGGTCTTGTGGACGCTGATCTGGGAGTGAGCGGCAAGGGTCCTTCCGTGTCTTCGGTTGCAGTGGCATATTTTTGATGATATCCAGTTGCTTGCGGCAAATCCGCCAGCGTGCCAGCGAAGCATTCTGTGTGGCAGCCCTGATCTCATTGTTAGGACGGCCGTCACACGTGACACCTCTCGTCTCGATTTCTTGATGAGCTCCCATGGGTCTTATTTCGACCATCTTGGGGCTTTCTTGGCCTTCTTGCGGGTTCCTTGACGCCATTCTGATCCGTCTTGTGGCCTTCTTGGGGCCCCCTTGGCGGACCAGGGTGTCTCTAGGTTGGGCGGTCTAGGGGCCCTCGTTGGCCTTTTTGGGGTCCTCTGGAGGCCCTGTTGAGCCAGCTGGGGCTTTCTTGGGGCCGTCCCGGGCTGCCTCGGGGCCCTCGTGTGGCTCTCGGTGGGCACTTTGGGGTCTCCGCAGGCAGCAGGTGGACCGATCTCCGACCGAAGATCGCGGGCAGCGGCACACACACACACATACTCACACACACTCTTCTCACTCTGACGCTCACACTCACACAGTCACGCTCACACTCACACTCGCACTCACACTCCCACTCAAACTCGCACTCACACACATTCACACATTCACACACATTCACACACACGAACACACACACACTCACACACGCGCCCGCCCGCACACACACACACTCACACACACACACTCACACGCACACTCACACTCACACACATTTACACACATGCACGCGCATTCACACACACGCACACACACACACACGCACACACACACACACGCACACACACACACACGCACACACACACACACGCACACACATACACACGCACGCACACACACAAACACTCACACGCACACGCTCACACGCACACACACACACACACTCACACTTACACTCTCACCCACACACGCACACACTCACGCTCACACTCACATTACCACACGCACGTTCACACACATGCACACATGTCCGCATACGTTCACACACATTCACACACATTCACACACGCACACACACTCTGTCACACACGCACTCACAGTCACACTTCCACCCACACACACACACTCACACACATGCACACATTAAAACACAGTTACACATGCACACGCATCCACACACACACACTCACTCTCACACACACAGACACACACACGCACTCACACTCACATTCAGACTTGCACACGCACACGCGCACACAGTCACACTCACACTCACACACAACCTCTCTCACACACACACACTCACACTCACACTCGCACTCACACACACATTCACACACATGCGTATACATTATTTTTTTTCACACGCATGCACACACATTCACACACACTAACACACACACACACTCACACTCAGGCTCGCGCACACGCATTCACACACATGCGCGCACATTCACACACACACACACACACTTTCGCACACACTTACACTCACACTCACATTCACACACATTCACACACGTGCACGTTCATTCACACACATTCACACACACGTTCACACACACACGCACTAACACGTACGCCCACACACACACTCACACTCACATTCACACTCACACACTCATTCACAGACATGCACACACATTCACACACTCACACGCACACTTCCACTCACACTCACACTCACAAACGCACATTTACATACATGCACACACATTCACACTCACACGCACTTGCACATAGATGAACGCATACACACTCACACACACACACGTTCACACAAACACAACCTCTCACAAACACACTCACACTCACACCCACGCACATGTGCACACATTGAAGCACATAAGCACATTCAAACACATGTGCGCACAACATACACACCCACACACTCACACTCACATTCACACACACACACACGCTCACACTCACACTCACACACAATCATACACATGCACACACGTTCACACACACGCACTCACACACACACACCCACACTCCATGCACACATATTCGCACGCATGCACACGCATTCACACACACACTCACACTCACACTCACACCCCTACAATCACACTCACACTCACACTTACACGCACACACACATTCACACGCATGCATACACAGTCACACACACAATCACACACACACATCCACAAATATTCGCACCCACGCGTGCACTCACACTCACACTCACAAACGCACATTTACATACATGCACACACATTCACACTCACACGCACTTGCACATAGATGAACGCATACACACTCACACACACACGTTCACACAAACACAACCTCTCACACACACACACTCACACTCACACCCACGCACATGTACACACATTGAAGCACATGAACATATTCAAACACATGTGCGCACACACATACACACCCACACACTCACACTCACATTCACACACACACACACGCTCACACTCACACTCACACACAATCATACACATGCACACACGTTCACACACACGCACTCACACACACACTCACACCCACACTCAATGCACACACATTCGCACGCATGCACACGCATTCACACACACACACACTCACACTCACACTCACACCCCTACAATCACACTCACACTCACACTTACACGCTCACACACACACACACATTCACACGCATGCATACACAGTCACACACACAATCACACACACACACACACACATCCACAACTATTCGCACCCACGCGTGCACTCACATTCACACTCACATATGCACATTTCACACACATGCACACCCATTCACATACCCGCGCACATAAAAATTAGCCTGGCGAAGGACCCAACCATATGCAGTTGTGAATGCCGCAATTGTGCTGGGTGGTGGCGGACGCATGCGGGCGGTGCCACTGGGACCTTCGGTGGAGCTCCCTATGGGGCCACGAAGCGCTGTACTGGGTGGGTGAGACGCGGTCAGCAATGGCTGTGCTGTGTGGTGGCGGACGCATGCGAGCGGTGCCACTGGGACCTTCGGTGGAGCTCCCTATGAGGCCACGAAACGCTGTACTGGGTGGGTGAAACGCAGGCAGGGAGCAAGGGCTGTGCAGGGTGGTGGCGGACGCATGCGGGCGGTGCCGCTGGGACCTTTGGCGGAGCTCCCTATAGGGCTACGAAGCGCTGTTCTGGGTGGGTGAATCGCAGGGAACAAGGGCTGTGCTGTGTGGTGGCGGACGCAAGCGGGCAGTGCCACTGGGACCTTTGGTGGAGCCCCCTATGGGGCCACGAAACGTGTGAGGGGTGTGCCAGAATGGGGTGTGGAACCGCATGCCAGCGCAGCCACTGGGGCCTTCGGTGGAGCTCCCTATGGAACCACGAAACGTGTGAGGGGTGTGCCGAAATGGGGGGTGGAACCGCATGCGAGCGCAGCCACTGCGGCGTTCGGTGGAGCTCCCTATGGGGCCACGAGACGTGTGAAGGGCGTGCCGAAAAGGGGGGTGGAACCGCATGCGAGCGCAGCCACTGGGGCCTTCGGTGGAGCTCTCTATGGGGCCACGAACCGTGTGAGGGGTGTGCCGAAATGGGGGGGGAACCGCATGCGAGCGCAGCCACTGGGGCGTTCGGTGGAGCTCCCCATGGAGCCACCCACGAAGCGTGTGAGGGGTGTGCCGAAATGGGGGGCGGAACCGCATGCGAGCGCAGCCACTGGAGCGTTCGGTGGAGCTCCCTATGGGGCCACGAAACGTGTGAGGGGTGTGCCGAAATGGGTGTGCGGGACGCATGCGGACGGCAGCACTGGGGCCTTCGGTGGAGTCCCCTGTGGGGCCACGAAACGTGTGAGGGGTTTTTGTGCCAGAAATGGGGGGTAGGAAACTGCCATTGCGAGCGCAGCCACTGGGGCGTCGGGTGGAGCTTCCCTATGGGGCCGAATCCGGTGAGGGGTGTCAAGAATAGTGGGTGGAAACCGCATGGGGCCACGCGGCCGCAGCCAATGGGGACTTCGGTGGAGTCCCGGAGTCCTATGGGCCACGAAACGTCCTGTGAGGGCCCGTGTGCAGAATGGGGGGTGGAACCCGCATGCGGAGCGCAAGCACGGGGCCTTCGGTGGAAGTTCCTATGGGGCCACGAAACGTTGTGAGGGGGACGATTGTGCCGAAATGGGGGGTGGAACCGCATGCGGGCGCAGCCACTGGGGCCTTCGGTGGAGCTCCCTATGGGGCCACGAAACGTGTGAGGGGTGTGCAGAATGGGGGGTGGAACCGCATGCGGGCGCAGCCACTGGGGCCTTCGGTGGAGCTCCCTATGGGGCCACGAAACGTGTGAGGGGTGTGCCACAATGAGGGGTGGAACCGCATGCGGGCGCAGCCACTGGGGCCTTCGGTGGGGCTCCCTATGGGGCCGCGAAACGTGCGAGGGGCGTGCCAGAATGGGGGGTGGAACCGCATGCGGGCGCAGACACTGGGGGCTTCGGTGGAGATCCCTATGGGGCCACGAAACGTGTGAGGGGTGTGCCAGAATGGTGTGTGGAACCGCATGCGGGCGCAGCCACTGGGGCCTTCGGTGGAGCTCCCTATGGGGCCACGAAGCGTGTAAGGGGTGTGCCAGAATGGGGGGTGGAACCGCATGCGGGCGCAGCCACTGGGGCCTTCGGTGGAGCTCCCTATGGGGCCACGAAACGTGTGAGGGGT